TTGAAGTTAAGATCTTAGCTTATATTTTTCTGATCTGTAGTTAAGCTCTTCTGCCACCAGGAGGTGTGTCACAGACATACTGTATGTCAGCAGTAGATCCTCTCACTCCACTCCATATTTTCTCTCCCACCTGGTGGATGGAAAAATGTGAGCGTATTGTCTGAGCGTGCTGTCCTTGATAGAAAAGTCCTGACTTCAAACTGGAGCTAAATGAGGCTACGACGCTGTAGCTGGAGGACAAGCCAAAAGAGAGAATCCCTGGTGGATAAAAACAGTCTCACGTTATAATCAGTGGCTCCGAGGATGAAGAGCTGATTTAATTATCATTCAGGAGTCTTTCTCTCATCGACCTCATCACAGAGGTGTTCAAGAGCAGGGAAATTAGGGAGGCTGTTTGGGAAAGTGCTAAAGTGAAAACATCATCATCATCATCATCATCATCATCCTTACAGCCGTCTTCTTAACTTCCCACGTGGCACCATAAATACAAAATGACCAAATGCACAGCTTGAACGGATGTCAAAGGAATATTCCATGTCAGGGTTTTGGTTCACATCGTGTCTCAAACGATCCGTTCCGTCCCCCGTACGGGGTAACTCATGTATAATCCAAAAGCTAAATGTGCTAAATCAACAGCATTAATATTATGTCAACACAATCAGCTGGACCACAGTTTCTTGTCTGGTGTCCTGACGGTTTACCATACCTGACAAAATGGCATACGCCACATTTCTGCATGTGAGCACAAAATAACCCCCCCTCCCGCAGGACACTGTGGCTAATTACTATTTAAAGTTAAAGAATGACTGTTTAAAGCTGTTTTTTAGTAGCCTAGCATGTCCGCTCTAACACTGTTCTCCTGCATGTGTCCAATACAAACTGTGTCTCTGAAAGAGGTTGACATTGCCATAGGAACCAGGTGCACCCACGCATCCATGGAGCAACGGCAGCGAGTCACAGCAAAACCAGGAGCACAGGAGAGAGAATGAGAGGGAGGGAGGGAGGGGGTGAGGGAAGGAGGGAGGGAGGGGGAGATGAGATGTCTTTGATGTGACTACAGCAGCCCCAGGTTTCTAATCCTCTAAATATGTCTGTTCTTATGAGATCACATTAACATCTTTTTAAAAACCCTCCACATTTACATTTACATCTGTGGCAGAGTGAACATGGAGTCAGAGTCGTTCAGCAGCGAATCGGCTTCAAACAAGGGTTGATGTCAGTCAGTCTGTGGAAGGACGTGATTGGCCCTGTAACAGGAGGCTGCAGCAGCTAGAAGAAGGCTCCAGGAGCTGGAGCTAACAGTGTTAGCATTGACCGCGTGTCACGTCTTATCAGCTGCTCCACAGTCACAGACCGTCACAGACCGTCACAGACCGTAGCTGGGATGAAAGCACACACTGCCGTGGTGAGCCCCCTGGTGGGCTCCAACCTCATCACACATTAAGAAGTCCTGAGATCTAATCCAAAGCTCCATCCATCACTGAGCCCAGCCATGAAAACTGTTCTTCTTCACGGTTTTGTTTTCGCCGCAGCAGAGATCGTAATCACGTCCTCTCTTCCTGTAACAAGACGTGTTCCTAAAACCTGGAGACGTGACGTTAGATTTGGTGAGAAGAGCACGAAGAGCGTGTTGTGGACTTTCATCTCTGGTAAATCAAAGTCCAGATCAGGTGGTGGTCAGTGCGCCTGTCGTGGAGTCTAAACCAAGGCACACGTTTCTGTCGGAAAAACAACGGAACTGCACACAATAATATGAAGCAGGATCCAAAGGCCTGGACACAGGAAGAGGAGGGACATGAACCCAGCTGAGAGCAGCTTATCATACTTTATACTGTGGAAATCCAGTGTATTTTATAAATAATAATAATAATAATAATAATAAGTATATATTCAGTAATCCAGTGAGGTCAGCTGGCACCAAGGCACCGCTAACATGCTAACAGCTTAGCTGTCTCCGTCCGTCCACTTCCTCCCTCCCTCCCTCCCACAGAAAAATGTTCATTCTACCCTCGTCTTTTGTCTTCTGGATGTCACCCTGACCCTTCTCAGTCTGTCTCTCACCGTTATTTTACAGCAGAAACAAACGCTGACCTTTCATTTGTCCACGGAGCTCCAAAGCTGAGCTGGAGTTTTTTTGCCCTGCAGGAAAAAACAAAATAAAAGTTGTTGTTTTTTTCATTTTTTTCATCAAAAAAACCCACTCTGGTTCGACTCAGGGGTTTTTATCATTACTGCAGGAAACGCTGCCCTGCACATAAACAACACATTCATCCACAGGAGGGCGTCGACCTCCGACCTGCTGCTGTTCTGTCTGCGTTTGACGCCTGGCGCCGCTCCAGAACAGCTCCGCAGTAAAAGTGAATCTTAGAGCGGCCAGAATCACAGGGTGAAATGTCAGTGAATATAAAGAGAAATACTGGCTAACCTTTAGAACGGCTAACGGCTAACAGCTAACGGCTAACGGCTGTTTCCTGTTCCTGTCCTGGTCTAAGATTATTCCACGGTCCTGTCCTTGAGCCGTTCACCGTCAACATCCATCATCCATGCTGATCAGCCTCTGAGGGTCAGGGGCAGCAGTGGAGCTGACCCCAGCTGACCCCGTGTGACCCCATCAGAGAAGGCCGACATCATCAAAAGGTCACATTTTGACACAACACGGCTGTAATATCCAGGAAAAATAATCGAGCCCAGAGAGAGACAAATGTCAAATCCCTTCAATTCATACCATGATATGAACTCTGACCCTTTGACCCTTTAACCAGTCCATTACATAGATGTAAATACACACTGAAGGTGTATTCTGCCACACCTTAGATCCAGCGGGTACAGACACTGACAAACAGGAAGTAGTCATGGGTCGTACCAGCACCGGTCCTGGTACTGTGTAGCCTGGATAGTTTCACTGTCTTGAGTCTTCCTCATGAATCACTTTACCTTAACAGGTTACCAGTTACCAGTAACAGTCAGAGAAATGATGGTTTCATACAGAACACATTTCATCACATGAACTGAATTTATCTAATTAATTTAATTAGTGATGTCACATGATGTCAGACAGACTGACCTTAAACAGAGCTTTGAACGTCGCAGTGATGAACTTTAAATCCACTAACTTTATGACCAAGGTTAAAGAACCAGGTGTGTGTCCATCACATCATGGACTGAACTCCTACAGAACCTCGTTCCTGAAGAACCAACGTAGACACCGCACAGTTCAGCTTCCTACTGCGGTTGCCATGACGTCTGCAGCGTCACAGTAAAAGGAGCTTTTAAAAAGACACCACACGCAGAGTTTGAAACCTGACATTGACCCGAAGTAGCGTTCTTGTTTTAACCAAATCCAAAGTCGAGGAGGATGAGCTGCGTCGGCCGTAGTACAGAAACCTGTTGTTGCTGTGGAAATGAAAAGAAAAACAAAACAACATTCTTATGAAACGACGTCAGTGGTTTTGATGGAGATGAAGTAATGAATTCTTTCATTTGTTTGACCTACTACTGCTCTGTGAGCAGGGTCTGAGTGAGATCATGAAGGTCTAAGAGTAGACGTCTGCTGACTCAGACAACGCTGGAACCGGCACAAACACAAAACGCTGAAATCCAGTAGTCGACGGCCCCGTGTCCCAGATCCACTGCTGGGGAGGAAACTCAGGGCCGACCTGACGCTTTAGTTCCTCTGCCAGGATTTTACTCAGAAAGAAAACACATTTCAAGAGTCTCTGAATTCAAATTTCCTGGATCGCGCATGAGCAGAGTGTCACCCCTAGGGGGCAGAAAACTGTGAGTGGGGCTGTGGTGGGCGTACGGCTTTCAGAGTGTCGCTCCGTGTGGTGTGAGGAAGGTGACGCTGACGCTGACCAACCGTAGTGAGTCGTAAATCTGAACTGTTGAGGAAAGGCATAAACTGACCACCAGGTGTGGCTGTTGAGTTCCAGAGTTGAAGGTTTGCTGAAAGGAACCTTGAAAAGCAGACGTTTTAATTTGCTGCAGTAAAAACGCCGGTGTCTCCCACTGATAACCTTAACATTCTGTTCAGTCGTCACAGTGACAGCGGGCCAACAGGTGGTCCAGGAGCCGGGAGTTTGAGACCATGGTCTAAAACCACTGGCCTTACTGAAGAAATGTGATTGGCTGTTTTTCACCTTTCCACTATTTATAAAAGAAGTAAAATCTCAAACAGACAAGTCTTTATTTATTTATTTTTAAAGCAATTTTCCATCTTTTAAAGCCAACAATTCCGACTTTTTTACTGCAAAATAATTTGAATTTCTACATCAGAATAAATATTGGTTAAAAAAATCAAAGAAAATCAACCAAACGTTCAGAAACATCGGGATTTTCCTCTACAGCTTTGAAGAAATATTTCTGATCCAGTCGTTCACAGGTCGAGTGTGTGTGTGTGTGTGTGTGTGTGTGTGTGTGTGTGTGTGTGTGTGTGTGTGTTTTCATTCCTGATTTCCACACAGCTCTGTGAAGCGTATCTGTCTGGTCGAACGTGATTATGTGCTAATGCTAATGCTAATGTCAACAACGACAGGAGACAGAGAGACACTGTCACAGGGACAACCCTCTACAACAGTGCTCCCAACCCCTGGCCCGTGGACCGTGGACCGTGGACCGTGGACCGTGGACTGTGGACCGAGCCCCCGCTGCCTCTGATGAGGCCACGAGGTCTTCAGAACTGCTCCACCACATGGACACCGAGGGTTCTGCATTAACAGACAAGTCCATGTTAGGAGAACGGCTGACACTGAAGTATGTGAAGGTGCTACAGTTCAGTGTCGACATCAGTCAACTAACTCCGCCTCCAGTCCAAGGATCCGACACGACCACAGCTCAGATACGTCCTCCACAGGGGGAGGGACTAATGTCCTCACCCTCAGAGAACAGCAGAGCAGCTGTGCTGAGAAAAAGGTGAAGACGACACAACCAAACAGCAGCAGTTATTTATGGGGCTGTTGGAGCCTGAGCTGCTG